TGTATCTCGTGGAAAAGGTTCTGCGTCGCCAAGGCAACAAAGTGTTGGTTAAGTGGTTGGAAGTGAACAATTCGCACAATTCCTGGATAAATAAAAACAATGTTGTCTAATATTATGTGTGTATAATCTCTTTTATTTTCTTATATTTTTACAATGAATACATATATCATAATTATCTTTTAACACGTTCCGTGCCACGGCAATTATTGAAGATTTTCCATTCAGGCCGCGTGGGGCGTATACGACCCACACTTTAAAGATTAAAAAAGTCATTTAAGACGTATGCTTTACACTTTTTCAATACTGCAAAGCTATAATTAGCAGGAAAAAGTTATAAATTTTAATATGCATTAGACAACAAAGCAATAAATTTAATTTTTAATGAATTGTTTTAACAACCATAAGGTCTAACGTTTACTCTACCAGACGAGTTACAAGCTNCTACTTGACCATTGTAATAAAGTCCAAATGCATAAAAAATAATGCATTTTCCTTCAAACATGTTTAATATTATTACTTACAAATTTATTTACAATTATAAAGGCATATTGCGGTGGACCTTGTTGAAACATGGGAGACAGAAATGAGACTTGTCTGGACAACCATCACAAAATGTCACAACTTTTATGGTACAATTTTTTGCCAATTTCGAGCCAAACTTTTTAACATTATTTTCATAGCAAATTTTGCAGCGTTTTCTAACTGAATCAAATTTGCCGTTCTTTTTTTTAATTTCATGACGAANTCTTTTTGGTACTACGCGCAAAGAATTATTATCTTCGCGGGACATCAGTTGCATAGCTAATTGTTTTCTAAATTCAACGCTTGATATTTTACTGTTTGTGAGACTATTATATATTATCCACGCATTTACAACAGCAGTATTTAAAAAAAGTTCAAACATAATTTTTTTATACCATTTTACGGATTTGCGTAAAGGATTGCAGTATGATGACATTTGATCCGAAACATCTACGTATGACTTTCCTTCATTGTAATCTATGACAATTTTTGGTTTGACACAGTCATACCCCCTTTTCCGTACAACAACCATTTCGTCAGAGTGCTTTGTGGATAATAAAANGACGTCACGTTTTTCTTTCCATTTAAGTACCGTTAATCCATCCAAACTTTCTTTTGCAACATATTCATTTCGCTTTAATTTTTTTGCAANCAAATCTTTCGGAATGCCGCGGCGATTCGACCGCATTGTTCCAATAAGGTGAGTATTTCTTGCAATTAGTTGCCTAGCCAAGTCGACACTTGTGTACCAATTATCGGTACACACTGTATNACCCTTACCGAATATGTCTTTGCATAATGACAAAACTACATTGGTAGGCGTTGTTTTCTCGGTGTCCGATTTTTTTCCGCAATAAATTACAAAATTGACTGTATATCCTGGTGCCGAACATAATTTAAATATTTTAATACNGTATTTGTGTCGTTTTTGCTTTATGTATTGCTTGAATACGATACGACCTCGAAAGGGAATCAAGGATTCATCCACGCAAACAATTTCGCCTGGATCATAGTATTTTTTAAAATTTTCATTTAGCATGTTAATTATGACTCTAATTTTATACAAACGGTCGTCATGATTTTCATTTTCGTTGTCACAGAAATGCAACATTCGCAACAAAAGCTCGAAACGATTCCTTGATAGCACCGAAACAGGAAGACTTTGAGCATAAGCTGCATCTTTCGACCAATATAAATGAATTTCGGGAAGTTTTACTATGCCCATCCACATTATGAGCCCAAAAAATCGTTTCATTTCAGTTATATCTGTTGGTTTCCATTTGTCCAACCGCGATGACGTTTTCTCAAGCAACACCTTTTCCGCATATCGATTGGTTTCTGTCACGATAATTTCAAGGATTCTATCATCCAGTAGTAAGGAATAAATGTCTCCTACATTTTCATAATTCCGATTGAATAGTTTGAAACCATGTGCGCCTACGAACGGCGTAAGCTGTGGTTGATTTCCAGTAGGATTAGACCAGTCCGTGGAAGAAGCATTTGTATAATTGTTGATCATATTCGATTGATCTTCTTCGTCTTCACTGCTTGATAAAATTATGTTGCGACGCACAGAAAGACGATGAAAAGGTATTATGTCGCTTGAACTTTCTGTTGAAGAATCATCAGAACTTATGCGTGTAATCCTACGGCGTCTTGCTATAACTTCTGACAGTGGCATATCAGAGTCCTCGCTCGAAAATTGTTCATTGTGCAATGCCATTTCTGATCATGAGGGGTAAAAATTATATAAATATTTGTCTGTAGCACACAAATATATACTTACTGTATGTTATATATCCTTCGTTTGATTTCACTTCAAAAGCGAATAAACTGAACTAAATAAACACCAGCTTAAATCAAACAGTAATTGTTGCGTCAACGGCGCGCGAATAAATGACTAAACGACGATGAATGTCTCCTGTTTGGAAAAATGACTCTCACGCTTCGTGGGGCGTATACGCCCCACGCTACAGTAAACATTGTATACGATGGGAAGTTGTCTATATTCGACCCTACCATTCATTTTTTAAGAATCCTTTATTTTTCAATGAGAATTGCAAATGGCCTAAACGGAAAGTGCAGCGGGGGTCGTATACGCCCCACATGGCACGGAATGTGTTAAGTAGTACTAAGTATTATTTTGCCTATATAGCAAGAGATTTCTAAGGGTAAGGGTAAAGATAGTTTAATAACATGCATAAAATTATAACTACTAATTTAAAATATTTTTATAAACACTACTTAAATGTCATTGTTACTTATAACATACATTAATGTTTATACAATTTTAATCAATATAGTTAAAATTTTAGATGTTATTAAACTAAATTAGTAAAAGCGTATAAACGTAATCCATTAAAAAAAAAACATATTTTGCAATATTATATAAATATTATATAAATATTACATTTTAATATTGCTATAATATTATAGTGAAAAAACATTTTGCACTATTATATACATATTTTATTTTAATATTGCTATGATATCATGTTAATATTGCTATGATATTATGTTGCAATTTCTAAAGGTGAACATTTTACCGTTGCTGTAGTGTCACAATAATATTACTGTGATATTTCGTAACGTACTTGCAATATTGCAATCTTGCAATGAAATATTTCTGCAATATTCCTGCAATNGTTTTGTGCTGTATGGGTTAGATCATAATCACTAATTAGTGACAAAAACCACGTATATTTACGTTATTACAACTGCCCTGTTCGGTTATTACCACTAAACTATAATATGGAACGCGCCTTCCATTGTTCGAGCTGTTCACGATAAAAAGCATCACAACTAGGATCTCTGTCTTTGTCTCGTCGTCGCTGATTGGTTGAATTTATACGAGTACAGTCTAAGACAAAAGAACAACGAAAAGTAAAGAATGACTGCGTTCAGCAGAAATCAGCGCTTACGAGTGCAGTCCAAGACAAAAAAACAACGAAAAGTAAAGAATGACTGCGTATTAGCAATTGCTGAGCTGTACTCGTATAAATTTCAACCAATCAGCGACGACGAGACAAAGACAGAGATCCTAGTTGTGATGCTCTCTATCGCGGACAGCTCGAACAATGGAAGGCGCGTTCCATATTATAGTTCAGTGGTTGTTACTGGCAGTATTGAAAAATCTATAGGATACGTCACGTGAACCTATAAATTTTCAGTACTGCCAGTAATAACGGAATAGGGGGAACGTCAGCTGGTTGCTTGGGATAATGTTGAAAAACAATGATTGGCCGAGCGGCCAAGCATTGTTTTGAGGTTATGGCAATAAAAAGACAATCATTAACCTCGCGTTTATGATTGCTGTTGAGACTAGTTTGACAATGAGCAAACAATAAAGTGATTAGCCATTTAGAAAAAAATAGAAACACATATTGAATAGAAAAAATATATTTTATAATATATTGTTTACATATGTTTTTACTAAAATTATAAAATCAAAACATAACAATAAAATTTTGTTGTTAGTTTTTAATTATAAAATTATAAAAACAACATAATAATATATATAAAAACAACATAATAATATATATAATAATATATATAACACAATTTATTTTATATTAACATTTTATATTAACTTAAAAACAATAACAAAATTAAAAACCATAACTAATTTGATCCTGATTTTTTATTTATTTATTACATTTGTAGTATTACTCACTAGTATTTTTGATTAAATGTAGTTTGTTCACAAATGTTTCAGTTTTTATAATTATTGGCACTTTATTGTTTTCCTTATTACTATCAGTATTAACTTTCTGTTTTTTAATTTGATTTTTGTTTAACTGGTTCTCCTGCTGCTTGTACACAGTTTAGCTAACTTTTTTTCTTTCTCTTCTATTTCTTTTTTCCTCAAAATTTCAAGCTTTCTAGCTTCTTTTTCTTTTTCTTTAACAATTCAAGTTTTCTAGCTTCTTTTTTATTTCTTTTTAGTTTTTGTTGAACAAGTTTCTTTTCTTTATTTATTTTCCATGTGATTGACGAAATTGCATAAGATTTCCTTTTTGTAAATCTTTCTTCTTTTTGCTTTGGTGTTGGTGGTTGCTGCAAATAATCATATAATCTTTTGGAACAATTTCTGTGCTGTCCAAGAGACAAATCAAGTACTATTGACAGCTCACAAGAATTCGCTCTACCCACAAGCTAACAGACGCGAGGGGCAAGGGGAATCGTCCGTCCACTCCACCCAATCTCCTCTACTAGGTAGGTTCTGTCCAAGGTCTGTAGAATAGACAGGTTGCCTGGTAACCAATGGCAACCAAAGCTTCGGATGGGCGCAGCATATTGCTTACGTCACTCAGCGTGCCAAACAACATCATGTGCACCTATGAAGCTACTGATACGTCAATAATCAGTGCTGTCAATAATACTCCCGGTAAAAAATTTTTTATGTATAAAATTGTATGGATATATTCGGCATATAAATTTGTATAATTAGATATAATAATTCTAATTTGTGTATAAGTATATATGAAAAATTTTTTACCGGGCTGTGTGTCCTCGTCACTGATCTCATTATTGTTATATAAGTAATATTATTGGTAATTTCTAAGTTATGCACGTCAGTTTTAGTTTCAGTCTTATTTGTTACTTTGTCAATGCTTATAGCGTTATCCTTAACATTAAAACTAAGATCACAACCCAGCAAACACAGATATAACAGCAACATTGTCGTAATAAAACAAATGTAACAAGTAATATAACATAGTCGTTGCATGTAACATTTATGTTAATTGTAATTTCCTACTTATCGTATATTGCAGAGTAGTAGTTATATGATATGAATATAACATGTAAGTAGAATGTAATATAATTGTTATACACGGTGAGCCATTTTAATCTCAACAGCCATATATCTCGATTTTTATGCATGCTCTTTAAAAATGGTTCAGACAAAAGTTGCTCGGAATAATAGAGGCCAACTATCTATGCAATCAGATTTGACCTTGACAATAAATGTCAAAGTCATTTCAAGGTCAAAACGTTTTTTTCTTATGGGAACCCATATTTTTAAAACCGGATTCGAAGAGCGGAAAATTTTACGTTCAGATACGTATCTAAGTTCAACATTAACGTGACCTTCATAGGTCAAATAAATCCCTAAAAACCAACCCTGCTAAACCACAAGTAGGCTAACCCAATAGTTAGGTTAATCTAAAGACGAGCAGGCAACCCTACAACCACGTGATTGCTGCAATTTTACCCTTGCGGATTGTCTGCTGGATGAAAGTATTGCTTTTGCCTAGATTTTAGAAAAGTAAATAGCATTTCAAAGAAGGACGAGTATCCTCTTCTCAATATGAACGGTATTCTCGATAAATTGCAATCCGCTAAGTATATTTCAACTATAGATCTCAGCCAAGCGTACTTTCAGATCCCGTTAGCGAAAGATAGTCGCGAGATCACTGCATTTAGCTTGCCGGGAAAAGAACTTATCTATTTTACGCAAATGCCTTGAGAGAGAGAGAGAGGATTGACCGGAGTTCCTGCAACATTTCAGCGGTTACTAAATAAATTAAACATTTGGAGTGGCTCAAGCGGGTTTTAGATAAAATTACGGCGGCTGAGTTAGTTATCAATCCTGATAAATGTGAGTTTTGCCGGTCGCAAGTCCGATATTTGGGTTTTCTACTCCAAAAAGAGAGCTTGACGGTTGACCCGGACAAAGTGAAGCCGATCTTAAAATACCTTGCTCCGAAAAATGTCAACCAATTACGTCACTTTCTTGGAATGTCATCTTGGTACTGACGCTTTATTCCGAATTTTACGATAGTAAGTGAGCTATTAAATCGGTTGTTGCGCAAAAATCAACGCTGGTAATGAAGTTCAGCTCAACAAGACGTTTTCGAGAGTATTCGCGCCTTAATTATCGCGCCTACTTTATCGTGTCCCGATTTTAGTTTTCCGTTTGTCGTACAGATGCTAGCTATGCTAGCTCTGTGGAGATTGGTACTATATTGATGCAAAATATTGACGACAAAGAACAGATCATCGCATTTGCGAGTCGCGCTTTGACAGACCCGGAAAGAAAATATTCCGTGACAGAACAGGAGTGCCTATATAGCAGTCGTGTGAGCCATTAAGAAGTTCCGCTTCTATTTGGAAGGTTACAAATTTACAGTGATCACGGACCACAGTAGCCTTCGGTGGCTACATAATGTACGCAATCGACAGGTAGACTCGCGAGGTAAGCGCTAGAACTAGAATATGACTACAAAATTATCCATAAAAAAGGCGCTTTTTATCACATTCCGGATGCGCTATCCCGCATGTTCGAGAACAATGATGAAAATGAGCCTACCATTATTGCGCCAATAATAAATGAAATCGAGATTCCGGAAACCGCGGATAATTAGTACCAAAAACGTTTTCGCGAAATAGCGACTCAAGATAAAAATTTTACCGATTGGAACATCATGGATAACCAACTTTAGTATTTAAAGCCGCGCCCAGTAGTGTCGGACATCGTTGAAGATCTTGATCATTGGAAGTTGGTTCTCGCAAAAGAACATCGGTTTGAGGCTTTGCGTGAAGCACACAATAACCCGCAATCAGGTCACATGGATGTCGAGAAGACATATCAACGTCTCTTGATCGCATATTAGTGGCCGAACATGTACCGTGATATTGCGAAATATATTCGGGAGTGCGATGCCTGTCAGCGTACAAAAGTAGAGCAGATGAATTCTGCTGGTCTTATGGGACACCGAG